GACCCAAGTTCGATCCCCAGTACCCCCCACCCCACAAAAAAAAGATACAAAGAAAAAAAGTGTTGCTTATGGTTTGAAGAAAAAAATCTACAAAAAACTGAGCTTTGGTCTTACCTGAAGAAATAGCATTTGAACTGTAACATGGAAGATGAAAAGCTGGTTAGGGGTTGGGAGTGTGGCAGTGGCTGACAGCTTGGCTAGCATGCACGAGACACAAGGCTCCGGATTTCATTCCTGGCACTAGAGCCAGAGACAGAAGACACTGCTGTAGCGCAGTGTCAGAGCACTTGTGCAAAGCCCTTGGTTTGATCCCCAGCACTGCAAAGAGAAAACAGAACAAAGCAAACAAAAGCAAAGAACAGAAGAAGATCATAAAAAAATTTCAGAGGATGCTCACAGGTCATATTTACAGTTTAAAATTATTCTTGCTGCTTGTTGCAAGCTATTCTTGCTTTTTGGGGAATGGCCTGGACGACAGAACAGTGAGAGGTAATGCAGAATCTCTCTTGAAGCTAACGCATCTCCTTCTCTCCCCTAGAGATTGAACTCAGCACCTTGCACATGCTAGGTAAGCCCTCTACCACCTTTCTGGTCCCCCCTTAAAACAATTCATTTTGAGACAAGGTTTTGCTACGTTGCCCAGGCTGACCTTGACTTGAAATTCTCCTGCTTCAGCTTCCCTAGTAGCTATAACACCTGCTTTGCATTTTTCGTAAAGGATTGTTCCCGAACCCATCGTACAGGTCTTGCAAAGCTTGGATTGGCCCTGATGCCTTTCCCTCCCACCCTCCTTTTTGCTCCCTTTCTCTGTCTGTTTGTCTGTCTGCCGCTCTGTCTTTCTCATCCTATGGGTGAAACCCAGGGCCTTGCACCTGCTGGGCAATCACTCTACCATTGAGCCACACCCCAGCCCCCTGATTTAAGAGCTGAAGAAAACCCTTTATTGGGAGGAGGTTGTCTTGAAGAATGAAGGCCTGGATTGCAGGAAGCAGTCCTGTTTGCTTATTGGATGAGGCTCAGATTTTAGTAGTGAGCAACTGTGGCCGACTTCAGCAAATTTGGAAGTGTTAGTGTATAAGTTGTAGATGTTTAAAGAGTGCAACATGATGTTAGATAAATAAATAACCAAATAGGGAAAGGGTTACTATAGTGAAGCAAAGTAACATGTTCTCACAAGGTTACCTTTAAAAAAATAATACTGGAGAGTGAACCCAGGGCCTTGCGCACGCCAAGCAAGTGCTCTACCGCTGAGCTATCCTGTCATCCCAGTCCTGTTTAGCCTTTCTTTTTCCCTTGGTGGGAAGAGCACCGGAAACCTAGTCTTTTAGTACACTCCCAGGTGCAGTACCGTGTCACGAAGCACAGCCTCCATGGACCTTAGCTAGCTCTCTAGACTGGTTCATCCCGCATATCTGCTGCTTTGTGTGCTGTGACCTACATCTCCCCATTTCTTCCCCACCCTTTCTCCTCTGTCACCACTGTATGAATCTCTATCTCTGTATATTTGCCTTTTATTAAGATTTCACATATGTGTGAGATCACATGATTTTTTTTCTGTGCCTGGGTTATTTCACTTAGCATAATACCATCAGGATTCTTGTATGTAGTGACAAATGGCAGAACCTCTTTCATTGGTAAAACTGAAAAATATTCCATTATGTATGTGTCTCTTTATACAATACCACATTTTCTTTATTAGTACATGTTTGAAGCATATAGTGGTTCCATTCCTTGAATGGACTTGTTACATGTACATATCTTAATTCTTTCTACTTCTCCTTCCCCTTCTCTCTATTCCTCTATCTCTAGATCCCCTTCCTATTTGCAAAAGGTCTATTTCTCTGTTTCTTATTACCTATCTTTATTTTGCTCTTTAAATTATTTATACTTTGAGTTTCTTGTCTAAGAGGAACCATGTGATATTTAAGCTTGTGCATCTGATTTATTTCACTTAACATTATGGTTTCAAAGTCCATACATTTTCCTACACATGACTCAGGTTTATCTTTCTTTATGGCAGAGTAGTACTCTATTGTGTGTAAATATCATATTTTCCCTACTCATTCATTTGTTGATGGGCATATAGGCTGCTTCCAAGATTTAGCTATTTTGAGTTGTGCTACTATAAACATGAGTATGCATGTATCACTGTAGTATGATGTCTTTAGCCCTTTGGGGAAGATACATAGAAGGGAAGTAGCTGGGTCCAGCGGAATTTCTAGTTTTAGTTTTTGAGGAATCTCCATATTGGTTTCCATAGTGACAATAGTACATTTTCTTTGTCTGTTGATGGACACATAGTATCATAATGTGGATCTTGAATGTCCCCTAGGGGCTCATATATTGAAGAGTTTGCTAGGTCATATGGTAGTTTTGTTTTAAATTTCTTCAGGAACTCCTGTACTGTCTTCCACAATGCTGCTTAAACTTACCTTCCCAGCAACAGTTTGCAAGAGCTCCTCTTTATTCATATCCTTGCAATATTTATCTCTTGCTTATTTATGTATTTATTTTTTGCAATACTGGGGATTCAATCCAGGGATCCTCTACCACTGACCTACATCCCCAGCCCATTTTATAGTTTGAGACAGGGTCCTGCTAAGTTCCCCAGGCTGGCCTTGAACTTGGGATCATCCTGCTTCAGCCTCCTGAGTAACTGGGATTACAGGCATGTGGCACTCCAGTTTAAGAAGCCCCCCCCCTTTCTGTGTCATGAATGCTAGGCAATCACTTTACAATTGAGCTAAATTCCAGCTTTCTAGTCTTTTAAAATAAGCCATCCTAACAGGTATTAGATTATAGCTCATTATGGTTTTCGTAGCAAATTTGGAATTTGTTGTAAGAATAGTTTTCAATCTTTTTTTCTCTTATAAAGGGTCAGATAGCAACTATTTTCACCTTTGCAGGTCGTATTGAGTCTGTTGTAACTATTCATCTCTCTTTTTGTAGAATGGAAGAAGCTATAGACAATATGTAAGTGAGCGATCATGACTATGTACCAATAAAGCTTTATTTATAAAAATAGGCAGGCTGGATTTGTGAAGTGGCCCATAGTTTTATGACCCTGTATTTGGAGACTCCAGAATCATTTGGTGTTTAGACAGCAGGTTTGCATATGGGCGGGTGCACAGCATTCTGTATATGTGCCATCCCAGATCATTTGGCCCTGCATGCCCATCCTGTCCTGGTCACTTGCTCTGCCATTCTTATGGATAAAGCCATGGCTATGGCTGCATCAAAGGTGAGGAACCCTAGGTCTACTAATGACCCTATGTCAGTCCCAGTTCCTTGGGAACTGGCTTGAACTGGATCAGGAGTGACAGCCAGGCTGGCAGTGTAGCTCAATGGCAGAGTACTTGCTTAGTGTGCATGAAGCCCTTGGTTCCACCATCAGCATAACCAAAAAACAAAATCCTTTAAAAATATCTCATCAGCAAGAAGGCCATCCATATGCCAATAGGCTGCTGTCTATTTCCTGGGTACTGAGAGAGGAAAATGTTGAAGCTATGTTTTAGTTTAGGGGGAAAGGTGTGATTGATTAGATATGGCTGCCATGTGCAAAAGCATAGAAACAAAGATGTGCTTGCTAAATATTTGTGTTCCTGTAACTAGCTGCTCTCTAGGGTCCCTTATAGATTTTTTTCTCTCTTGCCTTAGCCTCCTCAGTGGCTGGAATTACAGGTGAGTGTTACTACACCCAGATTTGCCCTATTGTTTTGACAATATGTGGTGCTGGTGTCTGGATACTTCCTTAGGCATGTTCTGGAGTTGTATCAACCATGTAAAATATAGTCATTTAGTACAGAAACGTGGTCTGTATTTTTAAATGTTCCTAACACATCTGCTGTTGTGAAAGAGACAGGTTGAGTCTCCTGATTCTCTGTTCATGATAGACACACCCAAGTGGCAGCTGGCCATTGAGAGAAAGAAATCAAATCCAAATGTCCTTTCACACCAGCCTCTTGGCTTATACACAGAGTGAAGATTCCAACCCATTCTTGCAAAGTTTGACAACTGTTTATTGAACACTCATTGTTTCAATGATATTCTCTTGGCCTCCAGAAACGGTAATTTCTAGCATTTCATCTTGGGTAAGACAGTAGTAACAACTACAAAGACCACTGGGAAAGGCTTTCTGGGATAACTAGGGGTGGGAGGTAGTGGGAAGAGGCTGAGGGGGAGTGAGGGCCCCTTTGCTTAGGAAAATGGTGACAGCGGAGGCTTAGTACAAGGAGGAAGAGGACATAGACTTATTGCAAGAGTGCATTCATGCAGGAGGAGACTGAGGATGAGTTTAGCTGAGTGCTGGTATGCAGTGGAATTGCAAGGCTGTGAGAAAGCAGAATGTGGAGTTTGGAAGTGGTGTCTAAATAAGAGGGCTCATTGTGTCCTCTGGACGTTTCCAGGGAGATTGCTTTTGTAGACGGTATGAAGGAAAGATGAAGCACAGTGGGACAGGAAGGCAGAGAGCAGGGAAGGATGCTAGCTACAATGATCGAGATAGGAGAGGATGGAGATCAAGCTTAAGGGTGGTGTGGAGGGACGAGAAGGCAGGTATGAAATCTGATTGGGGTGGCATGTTGGCTGGTGGTCCATGAAGCATAGAAGAGAAGGGTCATAGATAACTTCAGAATTGCCAGCCTGAGGTCTAAGGGTAAGGATGCCACGGAATTCACGGAGGAGAGACCAGGAAGAAAAGACTCATTATCAGGCTGGGCATTTAGCTCAATGGTTCCACTACCTGCCTTGCAAGAGCAAGGTCCTGAGTTTGATCCCCAGTACCAAAAAA